CTCAAAATAATTTGCAAACTTTAGTCATTTTTACGTATTTTGTCAATATTTGAACTTTAAATGCTTATAGAAAAAAATTGTGATTGGATTTTTAATTTTTTTTATGTGCCTTTGAAACAATAAAGTAGGAGCTTTTTATTAAATTTTCAAGCTTTTTAACCAACAAATACAATTTTATTGATATTTATAGAAAAAAAAACTGAAAATGTCCGTAGGTTAAAATTCCAAATTAATCATATCACAATATCCATTATAGCCTATAGGTACTTATAAGTTATAACGCGTTATACATCAACAACAAACCGTGATACTATCATAGATATATAAAAGTTCACTTTAGAAGTTTCAAGTACCCACGAATAATATTATACAATCACAACAAAATAACTAAAATAGTTATTCTAGGTTTTTTAATATGTAATTTCGTCCAAATTTGAACTTAAAATAATAAAATGACTATAAAAATAAACTGTGCTTGTGTATTTTTTAGATTTTTTGGTAATAGAATTAACTACTTAAATGGCATCTTGTTTAAATTTTAAATCCTTAGCTATAAAAGCTGAACATTTTATAACTTATTAATTACAAAGATCGATAATTTTCGATATTTTGATATATTTTGTCAAAATTCGAACTTTAAATGCTTATAATAAAAATTTGTACGTATATATTTTTAATATTTTTCAATTGCTATTGTAACAATATATCAGGAACATTATATTAAATTTTTACACTTTTTGGCCCAACAGATAAAACTTTATTGATATTTATAGAAAAAAAACTAAAAAAATTTAAAACTGAAAATGTCCGTAAACAGCTCAAAAAGAGTCAAAATATTTTCAAAATTGTATTTGAAATGCTAATATAAACATTCAGTGAAATTTTCATGTGTAAAAATTACTTTCATTACCCATAAAAAAATATAATTCTTCAACTACTTTTGGGTGTAACTTGCTGCAGCCTGCAGTAAGTGCAACCAGCCACTCTCGTAGGCAATCCGACTAAGTCGGATCGCGGACAATAAAGGGAAACTCTTTCACCAATCACCCTGGTAGGCAATTTTCAATAATTCGATTTGATGCAAGTTTGTACATGATTTGCCAAAAAAAACAATGGCAACCGATAACAAATAAACACTAATTAATTCTACTGGTGACTTTAACCAATGGGAACTATTAATAAATAAAAATAAAATGTTCGATGTGAACTTCAATGTCCCTGTTTGAGCACCTCCTTAAAATTAGAATTTGGCAAATCCTTTCTTATTACACGGTGAAAGTATTAGAAGAACCACTATTCCAAATGTCAAGTACGTACGTTGAGTAGTTTTTGAGATCACTGAGTCAGCATGATATACGGATTTTAAGTGTATACAAGGCCGTAGCTGGAACAAATTTTCGGGGGGGGTTTAAAACCAAATTACCATATGTATTTAAATATCTAGTTAAAAAAAACTATCAAAGGTATAAAAAAAATTTCTTTCATAATAATATATCAAGATAAGATATCTTATGATATTATAAAATATTATTACATAGATACATTATAATAATGACTTGTCATAATTTTACAAAATTTAATTATTACAATATACTGAAGTTAAAATACTAAATTATGATATAATACAGAATAATAATATAATACAATACATAATAGAAAATGTTTTCCGTTTCTTTTCAGCTTAAATTTTAAATACATTTTTATAGCACAAGGTCTGTTTGTCTTTTTTTTTCTTTCGCAAAACGGTCAATCACTTCATCTATATTTATTTTAATGTATATTGTACATAAATTCATATACGGTTCGTATTCGCACGATTACCGGATTATAAAATAATATAATATAATTTTCGAAACGATATAAATATATGGCTGCAATACGATTGCGCGGGGTCCTTATCAGCCGTACCTTCTTAGGCGTACGATTGCGCGTGCTAAATTATTTTTGCTTCTAAGCAACGTTGTCAAATATACAGATTATAAATGTACGGTAAATATCCGGTTAGGTTCCGATTGTGGTGATCCATACGTTATTTATTACTTATTATTGCCGATTATTTCAAAGTTCAGTTTACTAACTATTTTAAAATTTCGGGGGGGGTTTGAACCCTCGAAACCCCCCCCCAGATACGGCCTTGAGTGTATAATATATAGATTCCCTTCTCCCTCCACTCAAAAAAAAATGAAAAATCGAGCACTTGGTGACACTCAGGAAGGTATTTGGAACAACTCTGTGAAAAAAAATTGTTGACGTTTTTAATGTGTAGATTCTATGGTTAAATTTTTTTTGCATATCCGGGATCAGTGGTGTAATTTGTAAATTATTATTAGTGTGAGAGAAATTCAATGCGAATACCACTCTCTTACGCGCATGCAGCATAATAATATACACACGTCAATAACTCGATAACAATATAAAATTCAATGTACGTATTTAACGAAAACTTACCTATTGTTTTGACAAAATTTTTTTTTTTAGTCGCTTAGGGATCTCTGCACCACTTTCTTTTTAGTCGTCGGTGAGGATTACCAGGAATTTCGTTTGATAGTAATTCACGGATTAATGGATTTGTGTGGGTTAAGAGACGACCATGGCGTTATAGAAATATTTTGCATCTTCTTGCAGGACGGTTTTTTGACGGAGATCGGTCTGGAGGATGTGATTTGATATGTAGGGGGGAGAGTTAGTAATTTTTCTTAATGTAATATTTTGAAACGTTTGGATTTTTTTAAGATTTGAGATTTTGGCATTGCCCCATAGTTGTAGACCGTAGGTCCATATAGCTTTGAGTAGGGATTTGTACAATAGTAATTTAGTGTTTAGGTTTGTGCGTTTATTATTAACGAGGAGTGTATTAAGCATGCGTAACCGGGAATTTAGCTGCAGCCGTTTATAGTTTTAATATGGTGTGCAAAAGTAAGACGGCGATCAAGTGTTAGTCCGAGATATTTGACTGTAGAGGTTGAGAGAATTTGGATATCATAGAGAGTTACAGCCGGACATTCGGCTTGCTTGAGGGTGAAAGTTGTATGAATTGATTTCGTTTGTTGACTTTAAACCGCCATTTCATAAGCCAATCCTCCATTTGAGAGGGATATGATATTGAAGATAAGTGGATTGTGGAAGCTAAAACAGGGTCTGCACTAGTTGATATTATTGCTTTGTCATCTGCAGAGTCCGCCACTAAGGTATTAGGCATAGTAGGTTGGTCTGAAGTATAAATATTAAACATAACTGGGAAGAGAATTCCTCCTTGCGGGACGCCGGCTCTAAACCAGCAAATTAAAGTTAGTTAACGTCGTCCGATTTTAATACTGAAAAAAATTTTTGAATTCAGCAAAAAAATGTATGTAGATCAAACAAAACACTTTCCGATTTTAATTTTAATTATCTATGATTTGAAAAATGTTATATTTTCAAGTTTTTAATTACAGTTCACAATAATATAAGATTAAATTTTTACAAAGTGTTCCGTTCGATCTATTGAGAATTTTCTGTTGAGTTCAAATTTTTTTCAGAATCTAATCGGAACACAATAATGTTTATTATGTTTATATAAACTAACTTTAAATTTGTCAAAACATATAAGCCATTACAAGGTCTTTTGAGCTAAAATTAACGGCAGTAGCAAGGCCCCTTATTAATGCTTATTTATTTTTGATTATATTTTACTTTTACATTTTAATGGTTTTAAAGTGAGATATTTAATATTTTTACCCCTCCCTCGCCAAAAATAAATGGTTCACAGCTACGTCACTGGTTGGTTGTTATCAATAGGTACTTGCTGTTAGATCCAGAAAGATAAAGGAGTATAAAAAAAGAGTCTAGAATAAAGAGATTTAAAAGACATATCGTTTACAGACATCGTACTCCGTTTCAAAACACGTCCAGAAAAGAATCCCACTATTAAATGATTTCACTGCACTGATTACAGTCAGATCGCAGTTGCTACTTCAACCCGTGTATATATATTTAATATTTTGTAATAGGAATTATTCATTATTTTTTTGTATTTGCAATATCTTTAGCCATGAATTATTGTAAATTTATTCTATGGCTTGTAAAACTATGCATTGACCCCCCCACGGTACCGAGTGAATGATATATATATAGGTGGTGATACTGAAATTTTCACGAATCATTGGCAAAAAAAGTTTCTTACACCACTGTGTGCAGTGATGTAGTCCTAAAAAAGTCTATGAGTACAAGCCTTAATCATTGTAAAAAATAACTTGGAGGCTACGCCTAACACGCGTATCATGATTTTCGTTAAGGGAACACACATAATTACATAAATATAAAATTAGAAGGTGGGTACACCGTACACGCGACACTACACCACTGACTGTATTATACTGTTATAGATTTATATTGTAAATACACTGAGCTACTATATAATATATAATATACACTTTTCATGAGTTTTTAAAATCCGTAGCCCGTAGGTACTTTTGAAATTATAGGTACCTACAACCTACACAAATACATAATGCAGAATACAGACTGCATGACAGTGCAGGCGGCTCGAAATTGTGGAGTCTTTGAAGCGTATTGTATATTTTAAATATTTTTACCATCGTACCCTTCATTGAAGCAAAATTGGCAGCAGGGGCCATTAGGCGGACGTGATACCCGCATGTGTTGTCTCCGTCTTACAAGTGCATAATATAGCACATTTTACGCTCAGCAAAACACGTGTAGCTCCGTCAATTTAATAATTAGAGTAAATTGACCTCTTATAAAATCTAAAGGTAAGATTATTACCTAGACAACCTCATGAGCTTTTTATTATATTTTAATTTTTAAGCGAGTTATGAGTACTTTAAGATGTACAAACAATTTACAATTAAAATATAATAAAAAGCCCATGAGGTTGTCTAGATAATAATCTTACCTTTAGATTTTATAAGAGGTCAATTCAATCGAATTATTAAATTGACGGAGCTACAAGTGTTCTGCTGAGCGTAGAATTTGGTATGTTACGCACTTGTAAGACGGAGACAACGCAGCGGGTATCACGTCCTCTTAATAATTATTAATTATAATATTTGCCATGATATTTGTGTTGAGGTCTTCCGATTATATATAAATTTATACACCCACCCACCCATTTCAGACATGAAGCAATTGCTTCAAATAATCCTATTTCCTGCCACCACTACTGCATGATTGAAATGTATAATTTTGAAAGTGCGGGTACCAAGGTAACGCACCCAAGCCCGGATTCAGACATTTTGAGGCCCAGGGGCCAGTTTAAAATGAGGCCCCTGTACGAAAAAAAAAATAATAATGTATACTGGGTGATTCTTTTATCAAACAACACTCATTATTTCAAAAAGTGTAAATTTTTTTGAAGATATTTTTTTACATAGTTTCAAGTCGCTTATAAAACAACGTTTTTATTAAAAAATTATATTTTTAATTATTTTTTATCCTTAAAATTTTTTAAGTTTTTTACTTTTTTGAATGACAACATAGGGTTTTAATTTTATATTCTAAAGTAGAATATTTTTCTTAGTATTTTGATACATGAAAATTGAATTTGGGGCGAGTAGTTTATGAGTTATAAGTATTTAAAGTTTAGACGAGCGGTGAAGTAGACAAACATTTCGCGGGGTAACCCCGAACCACTCCACTCATCATCGATTTTTTTAGGTAACTTATGCAGTGTTATAGCCTATAATTAAAAAGTAATGGACAAATCTGAGGCCCCTAAATAAATTCTAACTATCGAAGCCCGAGGCCCTGCATCACCACATTAGAAGTTACTATACAGTAAGTTGTACAAATCAAGTACAAGATGTATTTCGGTATTCAAGTCGTGGTCCGCACTAAACTTTTTCTAAAATTTAAACATCAAAATAATTATGTACATTTATATTTAAACCTACCGTTAAAATAAATGGATTTCGTTGGGACTTGTGATGGGTTACGCAGTACGCATTACATTGGTGTGCGGTATATATCCAAAATTTACCCCTTTCATAATTTTAATGCTTTTACCTGTTTTTTACTGAAGACTTCAGTGCTATTGTTGAATGACTTGATTTTGTAGATAGGTAACTAATATTTTGAGGTTGAGAATATCAGATGTCTATTACCAATATAGATATCATATGGTAAATTAGTAACTAGATTGTTAAGTTAAATATACCTCAACGGAGTTATAAACAGTTACTCCTCATTCATATTATTTCAAAAGGTACAAATACTATATTAGCTAATTGGAAGCAACTAGTAATAGATACAACTACCGAACTACCAATACGAGTACCTACACGATGCCAGACACCTGCAGTATTATCTTCATACCTATAAATTATAATAATAGCTCAATAGCTATATTCGTTAACCATGGTATATAATAATATTATATTATAACCAATAGCCATATAGTACAGCATTTATTGTTGATAAATAAATGGATATATTCATGGGCACCCATAGGTAAAATAAAAAAATTATGAAAATATGTAAGCTATAAATAAAGGTTTACTGTTATTTCAAAATATAAATGTATTAATAATTAATATTTGTATATTAAATGTCCATATAGTTAATTAAGTAATTAGTTATAATTAGGTAATATCTTTGTAATATTTATTAAATGTTAAGTTCATATTATTTTTCCAGGGAGCAAGTGCCCCACTACCCCGTCTTGAACACCTATACTTCCAATGGGCGCCCATGTGCCATTCGTATTCCTTTTATGTTTTGCATAGTCCTTGCCCAGATTCACAGTGGTTATAACTTATAGGTTCTATTACCGAATTCATTATTTCTTTAGGTATATCAAGGAAACACGACTTTCGCGCCGAAGTAAGCTGTTTCAAAGCTGCTTCTACAGTACCTATGCGCCTTGATGAAAAAGGCGAAATTGCGCATATTATGAAACGGGACTAGTTATGATTTCACAACTCCCTCGATATTCATTGTTTTTCACTTGACGTACCACTATGGTAATATAATTTATTAAGCCTGCAAGTACACACGGAGACCATAAAATTAAAACATAAGTCAAAACAGTTTTTATGTTTTTAGATAGTTTTGTTTGTGATAGAAAAGTTTTTGTATTGTTTTGTTTTTAATTACTATTTTGTTATTAGTCATGAGTGTGGCCTGGCATTAGGATCAGGCCAGTTTAAAGGTGATAGATGGGTACCTGCCGGCTGCCACAGTGCCACCAGCACAAGTTAATTTATTAATAGCAAGTAAAATTATACAGTATTAAGATTACCTATATAATAGAATTATATTAAAGAAAATTATTTTTAAATTAGTATTATGTGAGATTTAATTCACACTTTTTATTTTTAATATTTACACATAAAAACTTGTTTTACATATTTTTTAGATTACAAAAAAAAAATTTTAAAATTACACATCAAGTTTAAAATAATGATTAACCCAATAATACAATCTTAAAATAAATAACCGATACAAAATACACAAATTAAAATGCTTAATATCAACCTAATTTTTCAGGGTAGGAATAGGCTGGGCCAATTTTTAAAATTAAATTTTGAAAAACCCAATTAGTATGTTCTACCTACAAATAATTAATAAACTGAAATTTAAAATTACTTTTAAATTTATGAATGTTTATGAAAATAAGTTTAGCATATTAAGTAAAGAACGAGCATTTATTGTTGTGAAGAGTTAAAATTTGCAGCTACTTTTACTTTACGATTGGATGTGGACTGGTCATTAGCTGCTGATGTAAATGCACTCGAAGGACTTGGAATCATTACTCTGTTACTTGACATGTACTGTTCATTCTTAAAAATTATTTTATATTTACATTGAATGTACTAAAGTGGATATATTTTTTTGATTATTACCATTGGCATATCATTTGGTGTTGTTGGCATGTATTGTTGATAGCTCATATTTTGTTGAGGTTGATGGTAGGTGTTTGGGATAGAATTCATTACATATTCGTTATTTAATACTGAAAATAAATAAGATAATTAAAAATAAGGATGAACTAAAAACATATTTCAAATTAATTTACAATTTCTGTTGGTGGGTTGCCAATGAACAGGAGGTTGTGGTAATTGTGATGGATTCACCAAACTCGTGAAAACTGGTACTGCTTTGGAATATTGTAATTCTTGCTGATAGTTGAGAAACCTTTAAGAAATGTGGTAAGATATATTCAAGAATACATATTTCAAAAGTTAGGAAACATACTGTTGCTGTTGAAGTGGGAAACCAATAGGATTCTGCTGTCTATAGATTTGTTGTGGATATGGTATCTGAAATGACTGTTGAGCAGGAACAGAAAATCCAGGTGGATACTGTTGAAATGGTGTTCGGAAGTGTTGTGTGGAATGCTCAAAATATTGGGGCACTTGTGAATATGGCTGTTGTTGTTGTGGTTGCTGCTGTTGATGTTGCTGTTGTGGTTGTGGTGGTTGTTGCTGCTGCGGTTGTTGTTGTTGTTGTTGTTGTTGTTGTTGTTGTTGCAGCTGATGTAATTGTTGAGGCTGAAAAGAAGTTATCCAATTCATAAACACATTTGATGCTGCTTGTTGAGGAGGCACAACTCTTCTATCTGATTTTGGAGGCTTATTCTGTGTAGAGTGTTCATTATTTTTGTTACCATCCATTTGTTGAACAATAACCAATGCACGAGAAGCAACTTCTTCAGATGCCTAGATAAATTATTATAAATAATAGAAAAATATATTTTATTATCATTAATAACAAAAAACCTACAAACCTCAATATATGAATGTTTTGGTTCTCCTCGTATTGTAACACCATTCGGTAAAATCACTTCTGCACAATACATTTTAAAACCACTGTCATCTACTAGATTTATAAAACTATACTTAGGAAGACTATAACCTTTCTGTATATAATACTTTTCCAATGCCACAACCATAGTAGACTTTTCCTATAAAATATATATAATATAATATGTTATAATATAGTAAAATCAAAGGTGTAAAACTATTTTACTGTGAATTCTTTTTTTTTTGATTTTTTTTCTGTAAATACATGTATTTTTGGTATGCTAAAAACCATGGTTAAATCAGAATTTTTCAGAATCTAAGTTTTTATGGTATACCCATTTTAAGATTGTTGTTATTGCAGTTTTACATAATAGATCGAGGGATATTTTAAATTTAAACTGTCCAGAGGAACTAGTTCCCCAATAGATTATATGAGCTGTTAGGTTAAGTTAGGTAAAAACAAACTTCAAATGACTATAAGTATAACAATAAAACTTAGTTTCCAAGAAATTCTTATTTCATCATAAATATTTTTATTTTTTTTTTTGAAGTTCCTCGGTACAAAAGTTTATTCCAAAGTTATAACATATATTATTTACTTGAACTATGCTTTCCATTGAGCTGTTGAGTTTCGGAATTACATTTTCATTTACTTGTTCATTAGTACTGTAATTAGGACATTGAAGTTCAACTGTTTTTAATTCATGAAGTGAAGTTTCTGGTAAATAGTTTACTGGTTTATTAGAATAATATTCTGGTTCATTCTAAAAAAGTTTTTAAAAAATGAATAAAGTTAGCAAAAAAGTGTAAATATTAATTTTATTATTACTTCATTTTGTGTTGGAACAAAATTATCTTCAGGTTGGATTTTCAACATTTTCTTTAATGCTATTGTTTTAAATTCCTAATTAAATATAAAAAATAGTATTAAAATCATTGTTAGATATTTTAAAACTAAATACTAACACATGCTTCAGCATTCAACTGTATTTTGATGGAATTATTATTAATATGCTGTCTATCATTAGGTGTTTCCTAAAATATTTAAATAAATAAGAATAATAATCAAACATACAATACAAATGTTAATTTTTTTAATATTTTTTATTCAACATTAAAATAAAGTATGTATATAAAAAAAACCTTACCTTAGGCGTTTGGAGAATTTTATTAACCTTGTTTTGACTTTGAGATTCCTTTTTCTAAAAGAAATAAAAATTGTTCACATTAAAATTAAATCATTGAATAATTTGTTTAATCAAGCGAATGGTATACTTGCATGTGTTGTCTCTGTCTTCACATTTGTAACATAACGAATCTATATATACTTACTAAATTTATTTATAGTTAATATCAGAGAAAATTTACATATTATAGAATCTGTAGAGGATAATATAAACTATGTTTGAGCATAGAGTTTTTTTTCCATATTTTTATTTTATAATTAGTTATAGCTATTTGAATAATTTAAAATTTAAAATACATACAACTTGTTTTCAATAAACATAAATAAAACTTTTTCCTCAAACACAGTTTTAATTCTCCTTTACAAATTTGATAGTATATACATTTGCTCTAATATTAACTATAAATAAACTGTTGTAACAACCATGTAACCAGATTTGCTATTTTACACACATATAAGACTACATCACATGCCGGTACAATTTCCTCTTAAGTATTAAGTTCTAAATACTAGTATTATCAATTAAAATCAAACAGTTTGACAATATTAGAATTATTTTCTAAAAATACTACATATTTTTATTTAATTTTTTTTAAAGTATATTAAGTTAAAAACCAAGTAATCAATATACTTATATTTATTATATATTATGTTATTGTTGGCTTAACATATTTCTAAAAAAAAAAGAGTAATTGATATAACTTTACTTGTTGACGTCGCCATGATTCTTTTGGAGCTAATGTGATTTTTTCTTCCCGACATTTAAGTTTGATATCTGATCCATTACTATTTGACTATTTTTAAAAATATAATTATTAATAAATACATGAGTTCAAATTTAAGAAATAAACAGTAAACCTTTACATAGCAGATGTAATTGAGACAGAAACAAAGTGATCATTATTTAGTAAATAAAATGATTTATTATTCAAAATTTAAAAGAAAAATAATGTTAATATGTATATATAAAATAATACATAGTATATCTAGCAGTGGCACCCAACCTACTATTGGTAATAATAGCAACTACACTGTTGAAATAACATTAACAGTAGTAACTAAAAATTCTACTATGTATAATGATAGATTATAGTCTATGTTAGTAATGGCCTCTGAACAAACATGTCAACAATGGTCAATGAACATTATATTACATTATATACAATATGAAATTCATAAATTTAATCTTAATTTTTCTATGTTTATTAAAACTTATATTTTAATTGTATTGATTGTAGTGTGGATTTAAGTATTTGAAAAATTTTAATAGTCATAATTTGGTAATTTAGATGAAGTGTAAACTAATTAATTTTAATATCTGATTGAGCTTAAGGAGATTTAAATTGTTTATGTACATGTTGTAATAATTACCACAATGTTAGTAATTAATTTGATTCATATGAAATTTAAATTATTGATTAATTTATTATCAAAATGGATAAAAAAAAAAAGTTATGTAACTTAAATTTTAGAGGATGGGTAAATAAAATTATATTTAGGTACACTTAAAATAATATCATGATCCCCGCTGTACACTGGAACATGGAATTATAGTATTAAGACAGTGTCCCGCCAGCAAATGTTGTATCCAACATACAAATTTACATTCAGCTGAATCAATGTTGTGTCACTAGCTTTAATATTAGAGTAAATTGACCAAATATTAAACTATAAATTTAAAAGTAAGAATATTATGTGATTTAACATCGGTTTTTTTACTATATTTTAATTTTAAGTGAGTTTTTACCTTATACTCAGTTAAAAATTGAATTATTATAAAAAAACAGACATAAAACAATGTTCTTAAATTTAAATTATGAAATAAGGAAATAGTTAATTCAATCTAATATTAAACTTAACAACACAAAATTAGTTTTTCTGAATTCAAATGTAGTAAGTTTGAATAACAGATACAATATAATATGCATGTGTTGTGCTTATTCTTAAAAGGTTAGCTTAGGAGGTTAAGGTTCAATGTAATGCACTACAAAAAAATATAAAAGTATAACTAACCTGCAAATGTTCCCATATACTCAGTTGGGTATTCTTAAAATAAAAATAAAATTGTTAACAAATATTTTGTTTATATATCCATTTATACTATAAACAATGCAAATGAAATAACAAACCTGTTTCTCTGAATTAGGAGTCTGATTTACTGTCTTTTTTACAGCTAAAGGTTTATACAACCCATTGCGTATGGCGTGTGACAAGTTTATGAATGACATTCTACACAATTTATACCCACGGTTAGTAGAACCCCCAAATGATACAGAATTTGGAAATTCCTTATCAAATATAACACTGTATACAACTTCAGTATCAATATTTGCTTTAGAAATACCTAAATAAAATACAATTCATTAAATTATATCACTATTTATAAGATAAAACTCAAAATACTCACTGACTACTGTGCCTTTGAAACCAAGGGGAACTTGATATGAAGATCGAATACATACTACACGGTCTAATACTCGTGTGTCTGCTCCCTCGTCAGCTTTTAACTTGTCTAACTTAGTTATTGGCTAAAAAACAAATTTAAAAATAATAAATTGCTTCATTATTCTATTAAAATTAATTTACTTTAAAAAGATTTTGTGATTTCACACTTAATGTCACAGTTTTTTTGTGTTTTAAGTTTTCTGCGATAAATTCATCCATATATTTTTCTACAGCAGCTACTTTAGATGGTTCCATTGATCCACAAGTCTGTTTATCTTTAGTTAATGAACGAATTTCACTGAGCCATTTTTTTAAATCTTCTAATTTTTGTTTTCTGTGTAAACAATTAAAAATTATATTTTTACAATTTTCATAAAATTAAATTAAGTTAATAGACTTTAAAAAAAAAACAAACCTTGTACTTGGATTTGGGAACATATCTTCAGAGCTAAAAGTATCTTTGGAACTTTCAGTACTTAATAAAACATTTATTAACTCTGGAAATCTTTGAATATATTCACCTAACAAATCTATTGTTTTTTGTGAATACATCCAAACATTATCAAATTTTTTTGTAAATCCAACAACCTATAGAATAAATATTTAAATAAATAGAACATTTCCACAATATATATTAGAAATTATTATTAATACTTCTTCATTTCGTTTATTTGATTTAAGGTTCATTCCAATATTCATTTTTTTTTCATTCCTATCTTCATAAGTCTCAATTGCTAAAAATATTGTTCCAGTAATTTTAGCAAGTAAATGTGAATTGATTGAGAGTTTAGATGCTGCAGTATTAGCTAAAGAAGAATTTTTTTTTTTTTAAATGTCTCATAATAAAAGCTTCTTTCTAATTTACCATAAAAAAGCTCCGTAGAAACAGAATCAAGGCGCTCCTTCAAATCATAAATATAGGGTTCTGGTTCAAGTAATATATTAATCTTAACCCTTGAAGATATAAAACCACCAAGTACGTCTGCTTGGCAACCATAAAATGGAGCATCAAGCACAAACACTTTACTTCCAATAGGAAAATATTCTTCCAGAGAAAAATAACTTTCTTTTAAACTAGGATCAATTACTTCCAAGCCAGGCACAGATGTTTGATAAGCAATTGTTGTCGGGATTTCATTCCACTGTTTAAAAATTTGAAACGTATAATACTTCAGAAACACTTTTTAATAATAAAATACATACAACTTTTGTAAGATCAACTCCACTTCCATCTTGCCTTGGCACAAATTTGGTTCCTTTTAAGGTTTGACCACGCAATAATACATGAGTCTTACCAATCTCAATACCACGTGTTGTAATAAACCTGTTTCATACATCATGTTAACAATTTAAATTCAATTTTATTTGTTGACTCTAATAATGTTATGAACGCTGATTTTTGAGGTTCAAGCTGAACAATAGGATATTTTTTAATTTTTTGAAATTAAAACTGAACATTTTTTTTTAATTTCAAATTTTGAATCCAGTGTTAAATTATAGAAAAAATATAACATGGTTCAAATAAATTTCAGAATAAACTTGACAATATTCTAAGACCCAATAAATAATAAATGTAATTTTTTATCAATCTTTTTATCAATCAAACCGTGTTAGAACTCTGCTTATTAAATTTTGATTTTTATTACCAAACTATAAGGTATTTGGTTCGGTTTAAGAATAAAAATCAGACAATTCATAACATTATTAAATTAATATAAATATTAACTACTAACATCTTAGCGATGCCTTGGGCAAGCAGATTAAACTCTTGTACATCTGTTTCACTCATTTCTCGTATTATCAATTGTTCATCCTCATTAAATGATAATTTTACTGTTGTATTTGAAACAGCTGTAACCCTAATAACGTTTAAAACTTATTAGTTTTTTACAATATTCATAATTTAAAAAATAAAACTCACTTAATTTCTTCAAGATGAGGCCAATTGACATATAGTGTATTTCCAAGCAATTCCTTAGCAATGTGTTGTATACTTTCAATATCATTTTCATCTTTATTATCAATTTTTATAATCATATTTTCACCCAAACTAGGTGATTGAAAAACTTTTACATTACGTCTTTGTAATTGTGCCTATTGATTTAAAAATAAATTATATTAGTTACAATTGTATTAAATTTGAATATTAATTTTAATTTACTGTAATTGGAATAAGATGGAGTGATGGAAACCCAACATGATAAACATCCATTTGTAAGCCTGGACATAAACCTTTAACTAGATCACCTATGTCAACAAAAATATCTTCACGGTATATAGCTATTTTCTCGGCATGACTATCTTCAATTGATGGAAAATATTTTGAAATTGAACCTGTACCTAAACATTAAACAATAATACATTTAACATGAAAAGAATATGTATATTAAATTTGATTCAATAAATATACATGGTGTAACAGGAAGACCTAACAAATTAAATATCATTTGATATAATTATTAAATTAATATTTTTTTTTTATATTATTTATTGATGCGTGAGTACACGTAAAATATAACAATTTTATTTTTATTTATAATACCATTAAAAATTTTAAATCTGAATTAAATTTCAAAATTGCCAATTTGTAATTTTGGTTTTAAGAAAACTTTTGAAACATTCATCTAAATCAAATTATTACATTTTTTATACATAATTAAAGTGTACATTTTTTTTAGAAGTAAGACTCATATGAAGATTAATAAATAATAACTTTTTTACAAACATATTTAGATTTTAACAAGTACCTATTTAAAAATGCTCATAAAATAATTTTTAAAAAGTTTATACCAGCAATTCCCATTCTTTTAAGAGCGTGACCTAACATTTTAAATTTAACTTTTGTCGACCACAAAAAAATCATAGTTGCAAACACTTTTCTTTTTTTTTTTTTTCATTGAACTGAAGCCCGGCAACTATGGCCATTAGATGTTTTGTTGTTTTTAATAGTGCGGGAGGGGGGCGGTTGGTTGAAACACATTTTTAGGTTTGGCAGAATTTCAAGTTGGGCACCCGTAGGTTTCTGCCATGCCCGGGCGGGGGATGGCGGCATCACTCTCCGGACACCATGACTTAGAAAAATGCCGCCCATAGCCGAATTCGAATCGATGCCTAAGTCCGCTGGGCCACTTCGATTCGCACACTTTTCTTTTATTAACATAAAAATAGTAAATATATCTATTTATATATCATCAATAAATAAATAAAATAAATGTATACTAATTTTCGTAACTATACCAAAACTACGATAAGGACGAATCATTTTTTTTTTCTTGAAAATGAAATTAAAATAATGAAATATGAATGTAATGATTTTACGACCTATCAAAAAAACCTCTTCCATAAATTGGATCACGACCTGTGATTGAGAACCGCTGAATTAAACTTTTTGAATTTAAAATGGTTTTTTAACAATTTTCCTTAAGAGGACGTCTCACCCGGATGTGTTGTCTCCGTCTTACACACGTACGACATAGCAAATTTTCGTTTTCTAGTTTCAATAGGGTATTATCAGTTTTGATATTAGAGTGAATCAACCTATTATCAAACTTTTAGGTAACAACATTATTTGTGTTCTCTCGTTGGTGTTTTACGATATTTTAATTTTTAAGTGAGTTATGAACATTTTAGAATATGAATACTTTACATACCCATAACTCACTTAAAAATTAAAATATCGTAAAAAACCAACGAGAGAACACAGATACTGTTCTTACCTAAAAGTTTGATAATAGGTCAATTCACTCTAATATAAAAACTGACAATATCCTATTGAAACTAGCCAACGAACATTTGCTATGTCGTATGTGTGTACGACGGAGACAACACATGCGGGTGAGACGTCCTCTTAAGGGGTATGCATACCGATCGTTTCTAAGGAGTTCACTATAGGTAATTTTCTATTTGTGTGCATGCGAATCTTGTAAATGTGTGCGTAGTGAGTGATCATTAGTGTAAGTGACTGTGTATAAAATAAATAGTGGAGCACACCCGCACGTGCACGCACATGTCAGTAACGCAACATTTTACACTCTAATTACAAATGTGAATTTAAGTGAAACACTAAAACTTAGTTTCATATTTCCAATAATATAGCTTACTGAGTGACATTACAGTATGAACACTTATTATACAAATTGAAGAGAAGAAGTTTATCTAGGTTTGCATAGGAGTCAATTTTCGATATTTTATTTTCAATGTCCAATATTTAACTCTAAAACTTGTGATATTTTACTTTTTGAATTTGAATTATTGAATTTAGTAATTAAAGTATCAAAATTTGACTTGTATACAGACGTAGATTAACTTCTCCTCTACAATATTGATAATGGGTTTATTTACTCTCAAACCGCTTAATAAACCATATTATTGTAAATACAAAAGAACATTTTCATAGATTTTTTCAATACTATTCATACCCCTTAACAAAAATAATGAAATTTCAAAGAATTTTGCAAACATAAACTACATGACTTTAATAAATGTTTTTCCAATCAAAATTTGTCTAAAAACCGATTTACTAATCAGCTATTTTTAATTGTTCAAAACAAATTTTTATAATATTAGATTTATTTATTTTTTTATTTTCCGTATTAAAAATAAAAATAAAAAATGTTATACTATACGTCATATAGTGAATGTATATAAATACATTACAATTACAATTTCATTTATCAGGCCTTCTTGTTACATCCTATTATAATTCACATACCAAGAATTTTTTTTGAGTACTTGAAAAGATGCATCGGACCATGAGTATTTCTATTTTTCTCATCTGCTGTTAATTTATGTTCGACCATTTTCATGGACTTAATTAAAGTTTCCTAAATAAAGAAAATTAATTTTATTAAATTATTTACATAATTCATAATAATTGGTATATATTAAAATAAATTATGTTTACTTCATCAATAAAAGGGATTAGTACAACAGCTTCCCATTCATGTTGTTTGCCATTAAGATCAGTTTCAAATTTTTCAGGATAATATAATCTTATTGGACTAGCTTCTTCAGTCATTAAATCTTGAAAAGGTTTAGGTAATAGTTCTTTACTAAGTGATGGCAACACTGCTAACAGCTGTTCAAATGGTAAAAATGGTTGACCCAAGTCAAAATCTATTTTAAGATTTTCAAAACCCTTAATGTCAGATATATATGGGGCATAATGATGTGGATAGTACCAAGCCCATGAGCAACAACCGTTATAATAATAATTTAGATTCCATTGCAACGCCCTGATATATCCTTCAGCTTGTGAACGCATAACATCACTTAAATAATTAAATTATATTAACTTTTTTGTATACATTTAAGAGGATAGCCATGCATTTGTTGTCTCCTTCTTACAAACACACAACATACCAAATTTCCTTTCATTATTTTCAATAGAGTTCTGTTAGTTTTTATAATAGAGTGAGTTGACCTAATATTAAACTTTTAGATAAGATCGGATTCAATTAGATTAGGTAAGTCAGATTTTATTCAATATTTTAATTTTCAAGGAAGATATGAGCATTTTAATTTGTGATTTTTCACATACAATACTTGCTTAAACATTAAAAAACCCAAAAAAATATCGCCAGCACAGATAGTGTTCTTACCTAAAAGTTCAATAATAGTTCAATTCACTCTAATATCAAAACTAACAGCACACTATTGAAACTAGTGAATGAAAATTTGCCGTGGTGTACGTGTGTAAGACAGAGACAACAAATGCATGGCCACATGGATAGCGTCCTCTTAAATAAAAATTAAATGAATCTTACTCTGTAATAACATTGTAATCAAGTTTGTTTTTATAATAATTTTCTTTATGCAAATTAAATTCAGCCATTATGGATTCATCTTCAGTTTCTTCAAAGTCGTCTTCATCATCATCATCACTTAATAGCTAACATTATATTTTATTAAAAATGTAATAATATAACTATAAATAAAACTAAGGAGTGAAAATGCTTACGATTCTATCTGTATCTTTAATTAATGCAGCTAATTCATCTTTGTATGCAGGATCATTATTAACCTAAAAATAATATGTTTTAATTATTCAAACCACACAAGATATTATTAATTTCATAAATTTGATTATTAGCATAAAATAAACTAACTTTATTAGAAGTTGTAGTATTTGCAGTACGTTTCCCTTCTAAAAATTTTATATCAGCAAAAGTATCTCGGAATTGATCATAATCAAAATTAGCCAAAGTTTCCATAAATTTTTGAAACCGTTTTAGGTTTAATGTTCCTTGTTCGTTCAAATAACCTGGAAAATTTTAATTATACTTTAGGTTCTAAATTATTCTAATATATATTTTTAATAATAAAAATATATTAATATTCTTATGCCCGTATACATATTAAAGTTATGTGTCACATAAGACATGTTAAACTATGTTTTTAAATTGACTATGCATACAGCCATGAAAAATATGATTATTTTAAATAATATGACGTACAGTGATTTATTTTATACATTTATTATATTAAATGAATGCATTCATTGATGCGTTCAAAATCTAAAATATCTAACAAATTGTCAAGTATTTATATTTTATAAGCATTTAAAGTAGGTATGTTATAAATGCTAATTTCTTTTAAACTTAAAAACTAGCACATTTTTATTCTAACGCAAACTGAATCAAACTATTTACATTTCATATTATTAATCCCAAATTATTAGGCATTTGGTTCGGTTTGAATATTTGTAAGTAATTTCAGTTAATTATTGGGTACTTTCCTGTTACACGAGACTACCCTGTTTTTTGACAACATCACAATCCTGTTATATAAGACTACCAAAATTATACTTTCCTGTTATATGGGACCACAGCTATTATCGCTACCACCACCCAAGACTACCTCCGTTATAGCAACTACCTATCTTAGCTGATATTATAGCTGAATGATATCCATAAGCTGCGATTATATTTATTATATATCTATCATTACGTATATTATTAGTTTTTGTAATTGTGGTGTTTGCCACGGCAAATTTGGTGCATTACGATTAATTATTATGTATTTAATTTTTAACTTAATTAAATTTTTTTTGTATATAATTTGAATGTGGCCATCCCCACAATACATAAATTATTTATTATTTTATTTGTGGATTTACCATTTAGTATTATTATTATTATTTTATAGTTTTCCACACGCCCAGGCAAATTTGGCACTTTGGCGTGTACCGTGTAAAATACATTACAAATATTTACGATGTATTTAAATTTTTCTTTATTTCATTCTAACCATCCCCACAAATCACAATACATGTTATTAAAAAATATAACAAAGAAGGCAAGAAAAATAAGGTAGTCTCGTATAACAGGAAAATATCATTTTGGTAGTCTTAGATAACCGGATTGTGATGTTTCACAAAATGAGAGCAGTAGTCGAGATAACGGAGGTAGTCTTGGGGTGGTAGTCGAGATAACACCTGTAGTCTAGTATAACAGAAAAGTACCAATTATTGTTCTAAATTAAACTTTTTGTTATGAGTTTATTTGAATATTTAACAATTCGTAACATCTTTAATCGAAAGTTTATAGTTCATGAGATTATAGCCCGTGCCAAACGTATGTGAGTTTGAAAAAGTATGTGAAAAGGTAGTTGGAGAAATGAATTAAGCAGAACTCAGAAGGCCTAACATTAGGTCAATCAAAGTTATAATTGCTGTTATATACAGAAAATATTCCTATCTTAGAAGACAATATGGATACAATAAAGAAACATTGTAAGAAACTAATGGATTCTGCAAGTAAAGTCGGTCATGATAAATGACAAAAAAACAGAATACACGAAACTGACCAGAAGGGTTAGGATTTACCTATCAACATGAAGAGAGAATAGAAGTAGAAGGACCTATATTATATATGAACCACAATTTAAGTACTTAGGTATTCTTTTAACTCAAGAAATGAATTAAAAGCAAAGATAGCAAGAATAATACAGCTGTCAAATAAATGTTATTTTGGAGCTGGTACACCCTTCTAAAATTCAGATTGATATCTATAAACCTAAAATGTAAAATGTATATGACATTAATAAGTCCTATCATCCTATTCGACTCAGAAACATGGACACAAAAAAGACAGAGGAAGTCAGATTAGACATTTTTGAAAGAAAAGTACTAAGACTAAATTAAATTCAAAATATAGGTAGCCCTTAGCATAACAATTAAAATTATAATTTAACTTCATTTTTCTTTGCCTTTTCTTCCCAATTATACAGGGTTTTCAACCCTTGTCCTACACTATCACAGGGTTCTGTAACTCCTCTCCATTATATGCACCAGCTACTTTCGTGACATTCTCTATTCTAACTCTTAATACTCATTTCTTAATTGGTACTCTTCACCCTCTCTTCCTTCTTTTAATCTTTTCTAACAATTAGAATTAATTAATATTCTAATATATTATTAAACATTTTAAAACTTTTGTTTGTACAAGTCAGAGTGGTAGAATGATTTTTTACTTAATACAAAAAACCAATACCAATTTTACTTAAAATAATAAATAATAATCCTTAACACAAAATAAAAAAAAATGCTGACATATTGAATAAAATATGTATAAACAATTAATTGTTGAATATAAGTATAACCTATTGATTAGGTTATAAATTTGTCAACTTTAACGTAGATAAATAATATGTAATAATACAAAATTACCTTCTACTTTAGGTAGAATATCCATATAAACTCTGTATAATATTGGCAAGGCTCCTTTTGAGATATGAAGGTCGGGTAGATGTGGAATAAAATCATTACCAACTAGAAAACCCATCAACACCTTAAAATAACAATAGTTAAAATTAGTAGTTAAAGTTTATTTAGCTTATAAGTGATTAATTTTATTTTAAAACTGAAACTACGTTTTTTTAATATTAATTGTATATTTCTAACATTTCTCAGTACACATAAAACTGAAATTCAAAGAGTGATATCTATGTCATTAAACTTAGGTATGTTCAAAGGATAATAATTCTTTATGATGGTTTTACTTAGGATATTAAATATAATGTCAAATTTAGTCTGATGGGAATTAATTATTATACTTACTAACTTACACAAATTATGAAACATTAATAATTAAAGTTATCTTAATATTAATAACTCTCATTTTAAAATCAACTTAGCCCCCCCCCCCATATCTTTAAAAACCTAATAACATAGACATATTCTTAGAACACAAAGTGTAATAACTTATAACTCAAAAACTACTTCCTTAAAATTTTATTTATACAGATACATCAAAATGTTGTGCTTAATAATTTACATTAAAAAAGGGTGATCCTGATTTAAATATAATGAGTTTAAACTATCCTATAAATTAAATCTTAACAACTTTGAACTTAAAGCGAACTTTAAATAAATGTATTATTAAAGGATAAATATGGGGCAGTATGCTTCGTGAATAGCCCTGTAAAACATATCTACTAAGTGGCCAACATCCATTAACATTTTTAGATGCCCCTCACCAAATATCCCAAAGCATCACAGTCAGTTTGGTACAAAAAACTATCAAGCCCGAAATAATGTTAAAAATCTTGATACCTAAAATCAACAGTTTGTTGGAAACTGGTATTTATAAAAATTATTGGTGTTTAATAAGGATTTAGTTATATGTATTTTATTTATAGAACAATAACTTCTTATTAATAATTGTTATCAATTTACTATTGTTAGGAATATTTTGATGGAAAGTTAAAGTGGTTACCACATAATATATAATATAATAGGTACCTATTAATCAATGTACAACATAATATACAAAATTTACCCAATCATCAATAATAGACTCCAAATCATATTCAAAGGGTAAAGTCTCTTTGAGTTCTTGAAATTCTAATCCAAGATAATCTCTCATTAATGATAAATGCAAAAGATAAAATTGTGTTTCATCCACGGATGTTTCTTTTTTAGTTTTACGTCCAAATTTAACCTATAACACAGTACAATGAATATGGTATATATTAATTCTTAATATTTATAACTAAAATGTTGGTATTTTATAACTATTTATTTTTAAATTTAAAGAATTACCTCTTCCCTGAGCAATGAAAAGTACGGTTCATGTGTACACAGTCCCAACATGATTAAATCTGCATCCAAACCATAGAGACAATGTCTTGTATGAGGATTATATCCAGGGCGAGACTTCATATATCTAATGTAATCCATAATTTTATGTTCACCCTCACCAGGTACCTGATGTCCAGATAATATCACCTGAACCTTAGTCCATAATGGATCGTTGGACATTTTATCGGCAACAAAATATTCAAGCTCACTTTGCAAGCGTACCATAAATGGGGTACCTGGTGTAATACAATTAGAATCAAAGCGTTCTTCTGAAGGTAAAGTTTCACCTCGAGAAATCGCTTCTTTCGTTTGTTCTGCTGCTGTATGGGCTGATCGAAAACGTCGGCCACGTTGTTGATTCATTTTTGCTCTAGGAGCAACTCCATCAATAGCCATGAAGAACAATTTTTGTGGTTGAATCATTTGGAATAATACCTAAATACAAACAACAAAAAAAAAAAACAATAAGGCTATGGCCAGATATTATGACATGACTATATTAGTTATTATTATTGAACCTCCAAATAGTGGAAAATATTTTTAACGATGGTCTCTTCTGTTATACGAAAATGTGGATCATCATCATTTGGATGCGAACAATTGTGAATAATACCATTCATATCTAAGTACAGATTATCAAACTCTGGGATCTGCAACATATTAAAAAGTCAATAGGTAGAAGTAGTTTATAATTAGTTTTAAGACATTAATACCTGATAGTCTTTAACCAGCTCACTGAGGCAAGGATAGCGCTCACTCATATAACGGAAAAACTTGGGTACACCCATGGCGAATAAAACTTTTTAAAACGTAGGTAATTCAAATACTTTCAAACGATTTAAAAATAAAAATGTTCACTAATTTTTTTCGAAAGTTATTGAACAAATAAAATTGAAATGCTCAATGCTTATCGACTGTCGTAGTCTTGTTTTGCAAAAATATAAACACTAAACACTAAACAGTAGTAAAATACGAGTAGAACATAAATGTAGTACACATGACGGTGGATTATTTTGTCACGATAGTACACCATCAGTATAAACAGTAGGAGTACGGATTACGGTCGGGCCGTCCGGCCGTCGAGGTAAGGACTTGGGAATTCGGGATCGGAGTCAACATACAATTTTACCATACTTTAGTACGGTCATAGAACCATTAGAACCACAGTTCGACTATACAAACTGTAAACATAACCTTAAATATTATTTCCAACTGATAACTATTTGATAATAACGATATTTTTTTTTTTGGAATTTTTAGTTTTGTTTTTTAATGGTTTTTGAAAGTTTTCATTTTTAACTCGAGTTAAAAATAATAAATGTTTGTTTTGTTAACAAGATAAAATTTAATTTAAAAATCTAAATCTATTAGTAATTTATCGTGCAATAAAAAATGTAATTTACATTTTATAATAGTTTTTAACTAATTTTAAATGGTTTAATGACCTTAGTAATACAATACTTTTTTAAAAATAGGACTTGAAAAATTATCCATAAATGGATATACCGTGAATGAAAAATAAAGTATTTCATAGAATTTCTCGTTTCTATTTAAATGAATATATATTATTTAAATTATGTACACTGTGTACATTGTTTTATTTCATTTATTGAATGTTATTGTATGTCAACACGATCATGGCCATTCCAAAACAATGTATGACAAATGTGAGTATTAATTTTTTTTTAATAATTTTATTTATATTTGCTTAAAAATAAAGGTTGGTTTTTTTTTAAATAACCATTAATTTATTATTAAATTGCTGTTCTTGTACATTTATTCAGTATCCAACCAAATTATTAGCAAAATAAACAAAGCTAAAAAGGAATACACTCCTTGTGAATCAAAGAATGGAACATGTTTTTTCCCAAACATCTTGAAAGATCTAGAGCCATTTAAAGATGGTATTACCCATGAAATGATAACTGCAGCCGCAGACAAGTAATGTACAATTGTCAATTAGATTTATAATTTTTATACTCAGTGATTATTATTATTTTTATTTCTAGAGGAACTCGTTATATGATTTTTAATCATGATTTATACAGAGAAACAAAGTGCATGTTTCCAGCCCGTTGTGAAGGTATTGAACATTTTTTAAGTAAAATTCAATTAAATACTCCAGACGTAGAGTTCATATTAAATACACGAGATTGGCCTCAAATAATAAAACATTATGGTGATCCTAAACCGGTTTTTTCTTTTAGCAAGGTGAGAGAACTAATTTTTTTATTATTTAATTGTTATAGGTCTTATAATTACTCGGTTAATTAATTTAATAAATTGATTAATATTATGTTTCCTAGACAGATGATTATGCTGATATAATGTATCCTGCTTGGTCTTTTTGGAGTGGAGGGCCAGCAATTAAACTGCATCCATCAGGACTTGGTAGATGGGATTCTCTGAGAAAATCTATTTTGAAACAATCAGAACAATGGCCATGGAAACATAAAATTTCTAAAGGATTTTTCCGAGGTTCTAGAACTAGTGAACAACGTGATTCGCTCATACTTCTATCGAGAAATAAACCAGAACTAGTAGATGCAGCATATACAAAAAATCAAGCCTGGAAATCTGATAAGGTACACACAGTTAAACAGTATCTATCTAATACTCCAATGATAATAATGATTTGATTATATATTATACTAACATTTTATATTTATAGGATACACTTTTTGCTCCACCAGCAGATGAAATATCATTAGAAGACCATTGTCAATATAAATACTTGTTTAATTTCCGAGGTGTGGCAGCTAGTTTTCGTTTCAAACATCTTTTTTTATGTAAAAGTCTTGTTTTTCATGTTGGAGAAGAATGGAAGGAGTTTTTCTATCAATTTATGAAACCTTGGTATCATTATGTCCCAATAAATCCAAATGCATCCGAAAATGATATAAGGTAATTTAGCATATAAATATATAATTACAATTAATAATAAATTATTCTACCTATCTCTTTATGTTTCAGGAATATTTTAGTATTTTTCAAAGAGCATGACGATTTAGCCAAAGAAATTTCAGAACGAGGTTATAGATTTATCAGAACCCATTTAAGAATGAAAGATATATCATGGTATTGGGAAACACTGCTGCATGAATATGCCAAATTATTAAAGTACAAACCAAAACTAGACAATGAACTTAACCCAGTTAATAGGTGATCTTCTACAGATTATAAAGTGTTTTTCAACTTTTCAACTATATGAACAAAATATATACCGTAACAATTTTGGAAATTTATGAAGACTGCTATATTTAACAAAATTGTATTTATTTTACAAATTACAAAAAAAGTATTATTGATTTAAATTTAAAAAAATATTTCATTAAAATCAGTTTATTATAATTTGTATTGCTGTTTACTGTTTTGATAGTCATTGGAAAAATGTTTGAAACAGCAGTGGCTATTTCAGATTAACGCCTATTTGGAAACTTTTATTATAAGAGAAATTATGATAGTAGTAAAAATAATAATAAACAGCATAATAATGAAACAAATTTATTTGGAATTAAGTAATGACTATAAAAAATGTTGTACACTGGAACACAATTCACTAAACACAAGCATGTTGTTGCTAAAGCATATATATCTTTATTCAAAATCTGAACTAAGATTCTATATACAAAAATAAATAAATATATCATTTAAAAAATATATATATATATTTATATATATACATACAAAATTGTATTTAAGATATACAGAGTTAAATTTTTAGTGGCACGACAGATGAATATAAGTCATTCGGTAACTATGATTTCAATCTGCATAAGACAGCTGGGCATAACCAACTAGCATTTTTTCATCTGGTGTTTCATCACCGTTGCAGCCAGATACCTAAGTAATAAATAATTGTATTACAATTCCATGCCATAATAAAATATGAAATGTATACTTACAAGAGCAAAAGTAACAGGTCTGTCGCGAGTTTGATTACCTATCAGCACACGTAAGTTCATAGCTATTACATCAGCATCTCTGCCATCTACCAATCCAGCTCCCACTAGCTCAGTAGAAATACCATCGGGGGTGTCATTTCCCAACAAGAACTCGAATCGAATATCATTAAGTTCACGATTGGAGTTTCTACAAATATATAATATGTATAGTTATTAAATTATTATATAGTTATATAATTAGGTATATTGGTATTTTAAGACTTGATCTAACAGTTTTTAGAAGTGTTTATTTGAATATTAAATATAGATTTTGGCACTTAAATCAATATTTGCGTTAGTTGTTTATGTTTGTTTTTTTTAAAAAGTTAATATGATCAATATCCAAAACAAATATGAAATAAACTCTATTTAAATTAATTTAGGACAATTATGTAAGTTTTTAAATCTAATTTCCCGTTTATATTTACTTAATTATTAGTTAATAATAATTTATAATATTAACTTATATATATATTTATTTTTAATGAAACATCAATAAGTGTAATAAAGATGTTTTTCAATAAAATATAATGTGATTCATAAAAAAAAATTGAAACAAACCTCATACGTAGAACAAGATTTAAGTGTTCATCGCCACTTTCGTGTTCACTATCAGATGATTGAGGGACCTCAATTAATTTATTTAATGGTTTTTCTTGACACTAAAATAATAGCAAAAAACAGTTGTAAAGTTAATGAAGTTGTTTATACTATAAAATTGATAAGCTAATAATACGTTTCTTACCTCATCATCTGATGACTGTCCATCACATTCTTCTTCAGATGACCATGTCCACTCTCCAGTTATTGTTCTATGCAATCTGCCAGATGTGCCTGGTTGTCTTTTTGATGCCTGTCACAAACAGATGATTATATTTAGAACTTTTAAATAATTATTTTCAATTAAAACAAAAATACAAAAATGGATTATTCTTTTAAAGTATAAAATGTACCTTTTGTACTCTAGTTTCTAAACTAGGACCAATTGCAATTAAAGTTGATTGAAGGTATTTTTTATCTTTGGCTTTCTTAAAAATTGGATGTTTGAGAAGTTCAGTAGCTGTAGGCCTGTAAAAGAAAAAAACATTATCAAATCCTCAGCATTTATCCAGCAGAAAAAAAATGTAATTACCTTTTAGTAGGATCCTTCTGCAAACAATCGGTAATTAGTTTCCGAAAAGTTTTGCCATAAGCTTTGTATTGATCTTTATGGTCAGCACCAGTATCTAATGTAGGTGGATCATTCTGAAGTGTCAACATAAGAACCTTCATTGGTGGATACTTGTGGTATGGTGCTGTTCCAGTAGCTAACTCAATGGCTGTTATTCCCAATGACCAAATGTCTGCTTTGAAGTCATATCCGTGATCCTAATGTATTTTTGTCGGACGGTTTAGGGTTTCGAGCTTAGCAGTCGGTTTTTACCGATTGCATTAATTTTAGTTAAATGTTTTGCTTTTACCGTGTGTACCTGTTCCATGACTTCCGGAGCCATCCAGCAAGGTGTGCCAACAAATGTGTGTCGAACCTTCTGACGATTAGTATCATAACCAGTAGTTAACCATGCACTCACTCCAAAATCAGCTATTTGAACTGTTCCATCTTCACCCAGAAGAATATTTCCAGCCTTTATATCTCTATAAATATAGAAATAAAGTTATTATAAATTCCTTTCATATATATATATATAGCAGAATATGAAAGAATACCTATGAATTTGACTATTAGAATGGAAATATTCCAAGCCCTTCAAAACTTCTCTTAAAACAGTTGCAATAGTAGCTTCATCAAGAACACCATGACGACAATCACTTGTGCGCATTTTATGTTTAAGTATGTCAAGTAATGAACCCCCTTCTAGCAAACGTAATACTAACCATAATTCATCACCAACTACAAAACTAGTATGATACGTTACAACATTTTCATGCTGACACCATGACATAGCTTGTATTTCTTTCTATAAAGTATGAAAAAAAAATTATAATAATTATTAATTAACTATAGATTAAAATATAAATAATTACTGTTAATTCATCCATGCTGGTATTCCATTTTTCTAAATTTATTTTCTTGATGGCACATTTCTCTTGACGAGGCTTACAATAAGCACAATGAACAGTAGCTGTAGCACCAACGCCTAAAATGTAAACAGTTATTTATTAATTTAATTCATAAATACTCAAAACATAGCAATATGTATAATTAATTTGTATTATTAACTAATTACATATATTCATGGCAGAAACTACTTAAATATTTACCTAAATTAAAATTACAAAATTGAATAATATTATAATATATAGATATGTATAACCTATATATTATATTCTGAATTTTGATGTATTCTTATAACAAAAATGAATACTGTTATATGATGTAAAGTGCATGAGTTGTTTGCAAGTTGTATTACTTTTAATACATACTATACAACTGTTAAAAACTTTATTAATTAGTATACCTACACTTAACTTTTTTCAAATAAAAATTTAAAAAAAATTGTCTGTAACAATGTTGAAAAAGTGTTTCTCATAATGAAGCAATATATTAAATTAAAATCTATAGGCAAAATAACATAACACTGTATGGTAGAAAATACGGATTTAAATTAAATTAAATTTTAATTTTCAGTTAGGTAGTTATATTGATAATTATTCTTATACAGTTATACATCCACAATATATATTTAATTAATAGATTTGACCCTAGTATATAATACATAAATATTTCAAAAATGTACATTTATTACAATTAAATATTTATAATTGATATACAATTTGATTTAAATGCATATCAATAAAGACTTTCGATTAAATCATTAATTTAATAGATTATTGTGAACTGAAGCATAGAATACCTTATTACAAATTTACAAATATCAAAATACTAATTATATACTGAAACTGCAAAAATGTACCGACAAAATGTGTTTAATATATTATGTATAATTTATATTTACTCTAATAGAAATTTAACCACCACTGGTACAGATTTTTATTTTTAAATTAAAGTAAAACATTTAGATTCAATTTCACCAATCAAAAACACCAATCCACATGATTTATATTGTTTTGTATGGTTTTAGCCTCAAAAATATCATTGTATATGATGTACCTACATCATTATATAATGATATTATTTTTTTTTTGTAGGTTTAAAATGTTTGCTCAATGTTTAACGATAGATATACAATTGGTATACACCTCAGTATACACTAAAATGTTAAATTAATATGATGGCATTATAATATGATTCATTATTTACTTTCACAATATTAATTTAATTCATTAAACGTCTTATAAGTAGGTACTTGAATATGTTTAATACATAACTCTTGTTTTTATTGAACAGATAAATTATACGCAACTTAATTTTGTTTTCTAAAACCAATAGTTCATTTGGCAAATTCGGGTGATTTATTTCTGGATAATATATTAATTTAAAAAATAAGAATATTTCTGAGGTTAGGTCTTAGGTTATAGGTATATTATTAAATATTACCTACATCAAGTGTCTCTTTATGTATGAAATTGTTAGTAATATCATAGTAAATAATATTTTTACGAATACCCCCAAAGATAATAAGAGATTAAAAAGGGCACAGGTACTATAGACACTACCTAAACACAATATAGATTCATAGTAGGTAGGTACCTAAGTATTATAGATTTATGATATTGGTTTTGTAAATATTGAGCTGGGGTTTTATGTTTTAGCTTTAGTTTAAGTATTATAACTTTTTTGTATCCCTCAATTAGATATATTACATTTTTAACTAAAATAATATTAAATATTTACTAAAAACGACTAAAAATTTGATGGTTAATTAAATTAAATTTATGAAATTGAACTATAGACAAATTGAAATTTCATTTCAATTATATTATAATGTATTATACAATATTACAATAGGTACGATCTATTCGTGACACCATAAAAGTTGCGAAATGTTTGATGAGTGAATTCGTCAATTTGATAAGTGCAGTATTACCTATTTGTTTTTTACTCGAGATAAGAAATAATATTCTAGGTGCAAAAACCAAAAAGCTGTTTGCGGATTTTCAACTACCCAATATAAATTATAAATAACATCGTTACAACATTTCAACAGGACAAGTTGACTGAATGGAAAAATCTGAGATATCATCGGGCAAGTTGAAAAAATGAATTGTCATATTATTATTATTATGGTCGACGGTAATCGGTAGGTAATGATATCACATAATATAGTAAAACGACTCAATTAGTGACGGAAATTTAATCGTTTGTGAGATAGGTACCCAAGTACAATAACGGAGTGATGGGGAGGGAGTGACAGAGTAGTGAAGAGGGTACGGATTGACGAAGCAGAATAGCAGAGTGATTGAGTGAGCGCAGCAGACACCATTGAGGCATCTGTAGAAATCGTGAAACAAAATGAAAACGACCGTTCGGACGCCGATTTCGGTGCGATCACAGTCTCGAACCCGTTTGCCGAGATAATAAAACACAAAACAACAATGGGTAATAACTAATAACTATTTATTTATTTTAGAAATCGTTGCGGTATAACCTAAAAAACCTTTTAAAAATATAAGAGAAGTACGACCAGTGCCGGCGAGTGGGGGGCAGGCCAGGTGTTATACGACAGCGTACACCGGGTCTCCCAGGGGTGGCTATCGGGCAAACACGAGATCGGTAGACGACGCGTCAAGAATCAGGATCGCAGGTGTTAGGTATTACGACAACTGAATGTGATAAGAATATGAGTGAGATTACCAATGACTTCGCGGAGTTCGTAACTGTCCCGGGTGTTCGGCCAGACGATAGAAGCCGCCGCGGCAGCTGAAGAAGCGGCGGCTGCCGTCAAAGGTGCGTTGTCCGCGGCTGTGGCATTGCTGCTGGTGGTCGTCGTCGTCGACGACGGCGTCGCCATTTTACCGCTGGCTGGCACTACAACGTGCCGGCGCTGTTGATTTTCCGGTAGGATACGCGACGACGCCGACCGAACAGGCACAATGGCATTTTACAACTGCACTGCGGCGGACGGCAATGCACTGACGGCGGCGGAGGCGGCTATCGCCGCTCGGTAGTCGGTCGTGTGTGGTTGCGCCGGTTGCGGTGATATCGACGGCGGCGGCAGTCGACGTCGTTCCAACTCAGTTGGCGCGCGCACGCAACGCAGGCGGCGACGACGTCGTCGGTTGACGCGCGCGCGTTTATAAATAATATACGATATTATTATTTCATGTATACAGTCTACGCATATATATATAACATATACATACACTGGCGATAACGGCGATGTATATATGTATAATATATATAGGTATATAGTATACACTGTTGTCTGTTATAAAATTACGGCAGTGTGTGCACTATGCATATTATTTAAGTACCTAGATATAGTATATTCCCGAACAGCCATACGCGTGCGAAACATAAACCAGGTCGTTCCGCGTTCAGATGTTCTCTGCTGATCGCAGGCCGTGTGGCACTGTGGCGCGAGGAGTGTAATGAAAAAACAACGCTCCACCCGTGCGCGCGTGAAATGTGAATACTGAATAGTAATTACGTGTCGTGACTCGCGGGGCGACGCGCGCGCGAGTGTATAATATAATCACACCAAAAACACTTCGTTATAACTCCGTGTAAAAAAAAGCTTAGTTACAAAAAAAAAATTTTAGTAATGAATAATGATTAAATCTTTAAAACACGTGATTTAATATGGTAATTAAGTAAAATGCCATTTTATAATATTACAAATACCTATGATGACAAATTGACAAATAATATCAATTGTAATGATGTTAAATACTTAGTCAACATATTGTTGATACATTTATTAATTACTGTAAATACTATAGTGGTTACTTAATTGTATTTATTTAAGTATAATTTTAGGTCCTGCCAAATAGTTAAACATAGTAAACTATGTTGACTAAGTATTTAACATTACAATTGATCTTATTTGTCATCATAGGTATTTGTAATAATATAAAATGGCATTTTACTTCATATCCGTATTATATATTTATATCACGTATTTTAAAGATTTAATCATTGCTAAATTTTTTTTTTTTTTACACGGAGTTATAACGAAGTGTTTTTGATGTGATATCACTTATTTTTTTTATGAAATAAGTCTCGATTTTATTTGACTGTATAAAATAATAATAATCCATATAATAGCATGCATCGTTGGCCTCCTGTTGTTATATATTTTTTTCTGTTTTAGTTTTTTTTTTTCTTAAACTATAATCTATAAATATTATATTGTGACATGTAACCCATATTTTATTATTATGTTTAATAATTTATGTGTAATGGGCTTGAGACTTGAGTCATAGATGGACCATGATGGCAAATCACAGAACTAAGAGCATATGATTTGCCATCGACCTTAATTGTTGCCCCGGGTAATGAATTAATCACCAGATGGCAGATTGCTTATTTTATTTTATTATTGTTCCAAATTTTCAGCAAAATAATATAATACCGTCGCGCTGGATCACGAATTCACTAAAAAATCACAGTCGTTGAGTCGTCAGCAAGTAACTATAATCTATATATTATCTTGCTGGTCGTTACTCGTCAGGAATATTCATAATGGTATTATGGTAAATACTAAATACTAAATACTAAATACTAAAATACTAAATGGTAATGGTTTCCGATTTTCCAAGTTTCCGACGACCGGCATCCGAAAAAACGCGCCGTCGCAATCGCCAATCGTCGTACGTCGTCGTGATAGTACGCCGTCGTCGCGATGAGAGTTGTAGTGGGGATTGATAAGCGGTGGGTTGGGACGAAAATATTGTAAATATCCCGCGACCCACCGCTTATCCATTCAAAATCGCAAAATCGGTCTTAAAAGTACTTGAAAATTTTTGCTTATAACTAATATTAATATAACTTATAAACTATCTAAACAATCTGCTAGCGAGTTCCTCTGTTCCCATCTGCACAATATTTCTGATTGATTGATACCTCATAAGACTTTATATGTTCAGCCGTTTGCCCTGTAGAGCTTGGCAAAGAATTTACATAAATTAGGATGATTTTTCAATGTTAAAACTCGGTTTCCTGTTATTATACGTTAGTGGCTACTGGCTACTCCACTATTTTTGTTTACTTAGCTTCGCGCCACTACCGTCGCGCTGGATATACTATTGAAATATTATAGTAATAACTAAAAATTAAAATTGTAATAACATGTACAATCGGTGACCGGTGCAATACTCCATCGACGCGTGTGCGTTGCCGTTCAGGTACTCGTTGCACACTTGCATCACCAGTCACCACCACTGTCGCTCCACTGTCCCCGCTCAACGAGTAGAGCGACCAACGGAAACGTAACGACGTTTGACGGGCGAGTGGCAACGACGAGTAAAAAAAACTAAAAACCGTGTCGCGCCGGTGACAGCCGCCCGATTCCGCCGTCCACGGTTGATGCAGTCGCGCCTCTCTGGCGCTCACCCACGCGACGGCAGCACCACCGCCAACGCGCGTTGTAACTCTTTACGGCCAGGCGGGTTGCAATATATCCCACAATGCCGCTAGTAGTTAAGACTAGTTTATTTATGTAGAAATTACAAATAAAAGTGTCGACCGAACGAACAATCTTTCGTTCGGCGATTATGTTATACGTTTTTATTTTTTACATTATATTTTTCCTTAAAATCAACGACTCCTCGGGATGGGTCGCTGGGAGCAAGCGGGGGTCCTTTTCCACGAAAAACTTTCAAAAAGATATTTACCAGCATAGGTAATCGTTAAACCGAAAAATCAATAATCTCGAGAATTTAAAGTTGGTAATAATTATTTACATCTTTAATTTAGCTTTGTTTATGACCTACTCACCTAGCCAGTAATTTAATAGTAAATAGTAATATTCGGTAAAACAATTTTGTAGTTAAACTAAACTGATCGAGGGTGACAGTATAGTGGCTCCTACAACTAGCAGCAGGCATACTAGTGTCATCCCGCATCCGTGCGTTAGTCGTAGCACAGATTATATGAAAATAATCATATAATCTGTGGTCGTAGTCCGCAGATAAGTTAGTGTTATGCAGTTTTGAATTTTTCCAAGTATAAAATATGTCGTGTAAAAAATGTGGTCGAGACGATCACGTCAAGCCGTCATCGTCAAAGTGTGAAGAAAGAATACTTTTGCAAAAAAGACGGTTCGCCGTTAAGAGCGGTGACGAGGACGTTTCCACATTTACCATACAAGAAAATTTCGGAAAGTTTTGCCCAGAAGTGGAATTACGTGAACGCATTAAACGAGACGTCGCCGAGGTATCCGCCTCTAGCAGTAGAGGCTTCATTATATACGTGTATTTTCGCAACTACACAAGGTTGTTTCACCACATCGCACAGTTTCCTCTAGATTTCACGTTCAACCATTTGTTGGATTTTTATTACCACTTACAGGGAAAACGGCAGCGGAAAGAACGAGTTATACGTGATGAAGAATATTTCGGTTTACGGCAAAAACATGGATTGTCTGAGACGGTATATGACGGTTCGTATCGGCCGTACAACACGTCAACACGAGACCCCTTTGAGAAACTGCGTGTGCGTACATTTGTAAAGTCGGCTATTAAAAAAATAGTACAGTATTTTTACGAAGCCTGCGAACGTAAAACCCAAAATTGGATATGGAAACTCCGTGTTTACGAAGAATTGTTTTCGCCAGATCATATAGCACGGCACGTAGTTTGGAAATCGTTGATTTTCTACGAAAATTCAACTTACCTGAAGACTTTCGAAGATTGCCAAATTCGGAAAAGTGCTGGTGGTCGCTTGTGCCGTTCACACACCGATTGGGAGTTTACGTTTTCCGAACGTGGATCCCGATCGTTTTAAGTGTTTCCCATTCTCCACCCCAAAACACTTGCGGTACAACGCCATGGCTCTTTTTGAACTGTTGCGTGTAAGTCTAAAAATCAAAAATGTAACAAAACCCAAATTCATGGAGTCCACACCATTTTACTGGTGGCGGTATTTCAACCTGAACCACAAGAGATACTGCTCGGTGGATCCGGAGAGCAACGAAATCACACTGTACGCAAGGGACGTACGGCATTTGCCATGTCATTCACTACAAAGTACAAACGGTGTGTATTGCTTTATGGCAATGAACCGATATGGCGACGGCATCTCAACAAAATCGAAATTACCGAAGAAACCGAACAAAAAAACTACGGTCGTTGCGACCTCGACAACCCTGACCAATATTCCGGATTTTTGGGTATATAGATCCCGGTGTAGTTATTTTCGTAGGGCCGTGTTCCATGTCCAAAACGCCATATCGGAAATAAATGTCGTAGTGAAAACTGAAAGATTTAAACAAACAGCGTGCGCCGAATACAGACGAGCGAAACTCATGGGACGCTACGAAAAATGTCTACTCGACGATCGTATGTGTAACGAAAACGTGACCATTTCGTCGAATTGTGCATACGATTATGACGAATCATCAAGCTACACTGAGTATCGTTTGAAACATCACTTAAAATCACAAATTGTGTAAATTTTTGAAACTGCTGTGGTACCGAAAAATCCGAAAACGGAAAGTCGAAGACTCGTTGGTCGGATTTCTGTTAGATTTGAATGCGGACAAGTCGCGGTGCGGAAAGATTTTGGTGTTTCGGCGACGGGTCACTATACAGGATAATATGAGCTACTGAAAAAATTTAAAACCGGCAGTGTGTTTGTTGCGTCTAGCATTTCGTCGTAGGCGAGATCGATGCGATGTGATAGGTGTGGACGAGTACGTGACGACGCGCTGTTCACGGTGCGCAGAACCTATGCCTCCAAAACACACATGAGACAAGGACGGACGCCGACGACATAATCACCGATTTCAGTATTGCCAAAAATGCGAAATCCATTGGAACAGAGATGTCAATGTCGCCCGAAACATCGTCTTGGTCGCCAGAGGACTCGTTGATTTTAGAAAAAAATATAATTCTAAAACAAAAAAAAAAAATCGTATAACAATATATAGGTAATCGCCGAACTAGAAATTGTTCGTTCGGCCGACACGTTTATTTGTATTGTTTACATAAATAAACGAGTCTTGACTACTAACGACATGGTGGGCCATATTATTGTAACCCACCATGCCGTAAAGAGTTATCGTGTTCTTGATAAATCCAATCCAATTTAACGGGCCACGGCCCACGGGCTTCTAATTTATTATTTCGTCCAACACGAAACGTGTTGTAAATTGTAATAATAAACGTGTAATGTAATATATAACAATTTTACAATTATAATACTATACAGCTGCTGCACACATCGGAACGTGACAATGATAGATAATGTACTTTATGTACAATAACATTATATTTTATTACCTCGGTTGGTGCGTTTTCGACTTTTTCCTAAACACACCTTTATAAAGGCCTCTTTTATATGTATACCATTGCAGTATTATAATATGCTTGTCTGTAAATGTGTAATATTATATTGCATTATGTAATAGTTTATAATAACATTGGTACCCGCAACACAATAATATTATATTTACGACTGATTTGAATCTCGGCTATCTCGTTAGTTGGTTGTGCTTGTGACTTGTGTTCAATTCCTAAAGTAGGTGGACAACAAAATATATTAGGCACGCATAATACAATACACAGAGAGACGACAATCCATTAACTATAGGCGGTAAATTATGTATAATAATATTATGTATCCATGTAGGTATATAAGGAAATAACCAATAGGAACCACCTGCACACTGGCTGCAGTACCTATTTAGCAATATGCCTATATAGCGTAATATAATATACAATATGTATAATATTTTAAACGCGCATTTACATTTTAAATATACACACATATTACGTACTTGGTAGGACGTGTACAAGTGCAGCGTACTGCGTAGTGCGTACATGGCAAATTTACGTTCAGCCTTCAGCAGTTCTAACTTCATAAGTTTTGATATTAGAGAGGATTTTCATATATTATTAAACATGAAGATAACAACATTGTATGTGATTTTTTGGAATTTTTTTCGATATTTTAATTTTGATTCAAGTTACATTATAAGTGTTTAATTTTATATAAATATTACAATTTTAACATTCTCATTATTCACTTCAAAATTTAAATATCGAAAAAAACATCTATCAAATCACTAAACGGGAACTTCTGAACGTATATTTTATACGTAACACACTTGTAAGACAGAGACAACACATGCCGATTGCCGGTGTGATTATTTCAATATGAGTAATCACTAATCACTAATCAGTATTCAGTAAAATGTGCATGTAATTTAGTATTTTAATATTAAAGTGTTTAAATTAAATATAATTACAGTAATTATTGATTAATTATGTCTTATCCTTATGGACCAAATATGTATAAGTGTGTTACATTCACGTTAGAAATTTATTATAATAAGATAAAAATTAAAAAAAGTTTAAAAAGAATTTATTTTTATTGTGTTCTTTACCTTTCATAATATATCTATGCTGTTAGTTATAATTGAAACGTGTGAATACATTAAAGGTAAATCGGTTTAATATCTACTTAAGTATAATGTAATATTATAATGTATAATAATATTATGTAATAATAATAATTTAATAACAAAATTATGACCTGAGTGATCGAGTACATATGATTTTTTAATTTTGTTATAGGTACAACTGTACAAGATTATATTTTTGTTGGTGACTTTGTGTCAGATATTACCTACAACAGTACAACATTAGTAAATCAAAACTAAAATAAAATTACATTTTGAATTTGATCATGAATTATAAACTAACTGTGAATGTTCTTCGTTACTACGTAAGTATAATTAATAAGAAATTGTTTTTCCAATAATAACTTAAGTACATTTTATTTAGGTAGGTATAGTAGGTACTATATTCTATATCTTAAATATACCTACTATATGTCTATATAGGTCATAGGCGTGTCTACGGTGGCAGCCTAGGGTGCCTGGACTGCCCCAGCAATTTTTCACAGGTGCCGATCAACCGAGTTTTAAGTCAGAGGGTTATAACATTTCTTTTTCTTTTTTTTTAACTTGATTTTTTTGTGGGTATGGGGTATCGTTATAATTATCATTTACTTACAAAGATTGATTTCCTGACTTCCGAAATCGGAAAAACCCACTATAGAGACCTGAGACAGACGACGACGATACAGTACGCATCTAGGTATTATTGATATTATTGTTGTATTATTTTTGGTTTGTAGCTAGGTGATGTAGGTAATCCAAGGATGATTAATATTTCTGGAGTTAAAGTAGATTATTATTGTAAATACCTAGATAATTTAGACTTTTTTTGAAATTATGTAAATATATCATTGTGGAGGGGGGGGGGCTTAAAAAAAATACGGCTTTGGGTGTACAGGGCTTTTTTCCGTTCACTATAATAAGCTACCGCCGGTTATTATCTAGGCTGCCCCTGCCAATGAAGTCTAGTCACGCCTATGATATAGGTTATAGGTATAATGTATATACTATATAATATTGTATTTTTATTATATACCTACCGATATTATTATATTTAAAAAAAAGTTACGTAATGAATAATGGCGTTATTTATTAATTTATATAATATAAATTAACTATTAATTATATTGTAACTCTAACCACGTCTGGTTTATAATTTATAATAGAAGAAATAAATAACTGTATAAATATTTTGTAAAATTATTTCTGCGCATATGATTCCTGCAACTGCGTACCTATTACAATGATATTCATAGACTTTGTAACAATTTATTGTTTACATTTAATTTAAAGTCCATAATATGTTAGTATACTATATTATTGTAATTACTATTATTAATAACAGCAAAAAGATTATATCGTATACTATAACAGTATAAAGCTACAGAATTTATAGTAGTTTTATAGTAGATTGCAGTATAGGAGGTATATCGCATACGTATACAATAATTATACTATTTATACTATCCACTCAGTATCCAGTTTTCAGATATCACATAATTTTATCTGTTTTCCATACATATAATATGTATGATGAATTTAGATTTTAGAATGATGGAATATATTTTATATTATATTTATATAACGACTAAACTAGTACCCTATACTGCTTAAATATGTTTGTTATGTAGGTAGGTACTAGCCACTAGGATGATTAATAACATCCTCAGCAAGCCAGTTTAAGATTAAATATTTAAAATACTATAGACTATAGTTATAGTGTATTGTGTATGGTATTTATATAAATTTCTCTTATGGTTTTATCCTAAATCATGTATTATAGAAACTGGAAAGTGTCAAATACTATTAAAAAGTTATTTAGATAACAGTTACTGATGTCGAACATATTAATATTATATTAGGTAGGTACATGGTTCATGTCCGTATCCCGCATAATTTATAAAAGTTGATGCATTAATATACTACCTATGTACCATTCATACATATTTTAATATTTTATCCTATTCAACCTACTGAGTATTGACTATTGATAATATATAATATTAGTGTATTACTAATGTCTAATGCCTAGTAAGTAATAACTAATAACTATAATATATTATTTTATTAGTACTTATAATATTATAAATAGATACAAATATACAATTTATAATATTATTTACTTTATTGTCAGAATGACTGAGTCCAAAAAAATAATGCACTTTTAAAATTTAAATTAGTAAAACATGAGCTGATGTGCCTTTACTTACATGTATCATACAGCTGGTATGTTAGCCTTGAAAACGAACTTCTGACACATTTCATGAAAATTTAAATGACTGGTAGGTATTGGTGATTTGGTAATTTAAAATATAGACTATATTTTTATTTATAATATTCTATTCTATTTTTATTTACTTGTCAATATTTTTTTTATAGTAAATTTAAATACTAAACTAATGACTTTCGATTATCGAAAGAAAAATTACACGTGGAAAAAGAAAGTGGACTTACACAGGTTGTACAATAGACCCAGCTTACAAGATTTTCTAAAATCAAAAAGGTTGGAATGGGCTGAACAAATATATAATATATTATATGGACATATGGTGCGCAGGCCACAAAGGGGAGGGGAAGTTAATAACACTATTATTTGCTAGCAAGCCAAATAAAAAAAGACTGGTAGGAAGACCACTTCAAAGTTGGATGAACTAAGATACTAAATGACAAATAATATAAAAAAGATTTACGAATATCATTTTTTGAAAAATAACAAAATAACGAAAATTGTTATTTTTGTTTAAATATCCAACTCATGGTTAAAATATAAGTTTTAAATGCCAAAAAAAAAAAGCTGTGAAGTATAGATTAGTTCAGACTTACAGATGTCTTGTATTCGTGTTGGTCACTCTAGGGGTCGGGAGGCCAGAGGGGCCATGCCCCCCCCCATTGGCTGTGTTAGGCGCCACTCAGTGATGACTGGGTGGTGAGGGAGGCGCAGTCCATTAGCTTATAGGTCTATGCTTGCGGTAACCGACCGCGCTTGCGTTTCCCCACCCACCACATGGAGCCGGCTTATCACATTCACACTACCAGCTTATCACGCCGCC